GAACCTGACTCATCATCGATCCAGATCTCATGGCTTTATGGACCTGTTTGTTGATCTGAAAAGAAAGAACTGCATCTTTTATTTCTAGATCAAAAAGGGGGATATGTTGTGCTATATACCATGATCATACTTTTTTGACATTGGGAACCAGTGTCCATATTTCATAACCAGAGGAGAACACGCAGATTTGGCGAATAAGAGATAAGAGCTGGGGGACTTCTGCAACTGCCCCCCCCTTTTCAGTCAAAGCAGTCACAGGCAAGTCAGATGGAGAGTCACAGAGGTGTGACNGTTTCATAGAATCGAAAAGGGAATCGGAATCGTGAAAATCTTTTCAATTCCCAACCCTACCCTTCATAGTTAGCATGGCTATCACTGCCCCTACATAGTTAGCATGGCTATCACTGCCCCTATATAGTAAGCATGGCTATCACTGCCCCTACATAGTTAGCAGTAGTCATGGTAGGACATTTCTTTTGTTTTATTTGTTTTGCTCAGGCTACCCGTAAGCCCACAGCCCGCCAAATGTTGAAAGGGCAATATTATTGGCATTACTGGTAATATATAGTAGAAATTTTACACATACACTAATAAAATGTCACAGGGGATGGTATGGAATAGGATTAAGGCCACTGAAAACAAATGTGAACTGAATTTTAAATTTTATTTTAGTATAATAGAATTCTGACTATTCTGACAGTTAACAAACATGTTAGCATCAAGTTGTAGCCATGTTTGGTTTTAAGACTAAAGTTGTTTAAATCACCTTCTGCTCTTCTATTAATTAAATAGCATCACCGGGGACCCCTCAGCCATGTAAAAAGCCAATTCCCTTATTTTCCATCAATGTGTTCCTGTTTCTCCCAAAAAACTCACATCTCTGTCAGTGAAGCTGAGTGCTCCACATCTCTGCCTTCATGAATTCTGACTTTTTTCCCATATTAAAGTGAAATAATCTTTAAAAATCAAGATTAAATTTTAATAGTAATATAAAATTTTAAATAACTTTAAAAGTTAACTTTTTTAATTTTTTTCAGTGACCATAATCCTCTTCCGTAGGATGGTCATTTAAGAAAGAGGATAATTTTTAAGATTTTTTTTAAAAAGGGGGGTGCCTTCCCCCCTTATCCCCCCTCAGCTCGAGTACTTGGCACAGTTACATGTTAGATGATGCTGTCACTACCCGATCCGTATGCATGTGCAAGCAGATGTTCATCCAGCTCATCATAAATAATGTAATAATGGTACTAAAAATACTTATTTCTATCCTTAAATCACCAAAGAATGCTTAAACACATATTTAAAACGTTCATGACTCTATGAAGCTTTTTACATTTTCTCTGTTAAATTGCTTCTATGACGTCATCATGGGACATGCTCAGAGCAGTCCAGCAAAATATGATTAAACCATGTTTATCTGACTTTAGTTGTTTCTTTCTTTATGTTATGCACTATATACCATAATGTTAACACGAAAGGAAAAAAATAAATACCCAAAAGACTAGATTTATGTTTAAATCCAAAGCCCAATAAGTTAGCTCCTGTAAGCACGGTAGCGTAGGATCCCATTTCCGGTACAGACTGAGCACAGATGAGCGATAAAAAAGCAATGATTTAAATGCATTAATTTTCATTAGAAAATACATTATTAACCTTTAAAATATTATCATTTACTACGCTTACTATTTTTAGGGAGGGGAAAATGGTATTAGGTTTTTTTTTTTTAAGTAAAATTGAGGGCAAGCCCGATCCGGTTGTGCCAATGATCTGATGGAACGGATCGTGCTTCAGGCACAGATCAGGTCCAACAGATGCGTCCTATTAAAAAAACAAAAAACAAAGAAAAGATATCTGTCACTAGAATAGCACCATAGGAAGTTAGCACGGTTACCTGGTATTTCTTTTATCAGTCTTATGTTCATATATGGTCTTTATTAATTGTCTGTAAATGAAATTAGAATTAAGATTAATTAGAAAGAAGTTCATCTTACTGTTTTATCGGCTTTGTTTGTACACCCTTAAGCTAACAATTTGCAACCATTATTGTTTTTTATGTATTGAGGAGCTATGAACAGGTTCTGTGTACGACACACTTGTTAGGTTTTATTATTTATACATCATGTGCACTGTTAATTTGTTAGTCAGATTAGACAGAGCAGAAGGCCTTCCTTCACATTTTGGATGTTGTGGTGTGTACGGAGGTCATCTAATCAAGACAGCCTTCGTGTCTCTAAGAGTACACGCGATATGGGCACATCTTGGAGCCGGACTGATAGGAGAGAGCTACTGTATCTGTAACCCTGAGACAGAGAGGCAACCTGCATGGAGTTCAAG